CTGCGGTTTCTTCCGTTCATTTAACCATCTGCGGACAGCAATTTGTTAAACGTTTGATAAGCTTTTTCTTGGAAACGCTGAGTTATCCATCGAAGTCTTACAAGTTGAAAAAACTGCATAACAGTCTCTTAGTATGTGAATAATTGAATTATCTATTTGTAACTTTCGAATTTAGATATCAATGCTCGAAGTTTCCATTATGGTGACATTCGAAGGGTTAACTTTATATTGATTCCTATATTGTCCGATTAATAGGTATTTCTATTTTTGTCTTTCCTTTTGTTTCTATTTCCAGAAAAAAGAATTTGTCAGCTAACTTGTTTACTTTTATTTTGTACCAAGTTATTTAACTGGTTACGATCGGAAAACTGCTGGTAGAGTTAGAGTTAAATTGTATGTAAGTTTTCTTTAGGAACTTTCGTGTCAGTCTTCTTGTGATGTAATGGAGGAAGATTTAGAGAACATTTGTAGACAATGAAGTATTGAAAACAATAAGATTCCAGTAGTTATTAATGAAACTATTGTATGAATCCTTCTCGGTGAATAATCAAATTTTGTAACATACAGTTTTCAAAATATTTTTCCTTCTCCTTTATTATGTCATTATATTGCAACATTTATAGACGGAATATCTATAAAGACTTTGTACAAAGACTTAACTCTAGGATTACCAAACATTTAACATGTTGCAGACGGATAACGAGAATGCTCGTGCCTCTAGAAACATGCCTGGCTACTGGTTAAAGTTAGTAATAAAACTATTAGTCTGCAATGTGTTAATATAGTTAATATATAACCCTTATAAAAATCCTTATAACAATAGATTTTTTCCGGTTTCGTAACATATTTATTATAGTATTCAAGTGAAATTATTTATTTTTAATATAATAATATTATAGCCAAATAAAAAAACTGAAGCCAGTCACATTGACCGTTGCGATAGTCCTAGTGTTAATATCCTAACGTACGCTGAACAGCACAGAACATCAGCTAGAACACACGGATCGTCAAAATTTCCTTCCACACATCGATCAGCATACAGTTACCGTAATTCCCATGAACATTGCGGGCAACGTTGCTCTCCAAAAAGTTCGTAAATTAACGGTACTAACAAGACAGTGTATTACGCGCATTACTTACGATCTACAAAACGAAATGGAAAATGTAAAACGGGCCAAGCGTAAAATTGGCGTTTGCCAGTAAATCATGCGTAAGTATACACGCCTATCGCCGGAACGTAACCATCGCGATCCTTGTTCTCGAAGAACGTGGCTCAGCCTGCCCGTTACGAATGACATAACGGCAACTTCGATCTTGCGCCGGCCAGAGAAAACGAGGCAAAACACGAGTAATACTGCAAACTGCAGTAATACCTGGAAGAAGATTGATATTTCGTTTCTTTCGGCCGATCGTTGTGGTCGATTCCTGGATCTCCGCGAAGGGGACAAATCGAACGACCAACAAAACAGGGAGCACGGATGATGGGCTAAACCCCGGCGCAACACGGCCAGACATTCTCAAACTGTTCGCGGGAATGATCGAACGGTAAAGAACGGACCGCGGGAACGACTTCACGGTCACAATAATAAGGAAGAAACTTGCACAACTGAACTTTGCTTCGGCGAAGATGCGTGGAACAAAATGTTTTTCACGGTTGCGGATATGCCCGGTCTAATGGACGTTTGCTCTTCACATTTCTCGAGCGTCATCTCGGAAAAATAAAATTACTTTCCACAATTCTACCGTTATAATCTCACTGCAGGAATTATTAGATCTCTGAGAAAGTAACGTCCACCTCGTGGATGCATAAGTAAATCGATTTACCATGGTGTTATTGTCTTATTTATCTCCTCATCAGACGTGGCTGCTCAAATTGATACCTCTCAAACGATCGACGCTAAAAGTCAATCAACTTATATAAGAATTCATACAAAACAAACGAAAAAAATCATTATTCATGACGAGACATAAAGATCGAGAATATCGGAATTACGATTTGAATTTCGTTTCTAATTATTAACGATCGAAGGTCTCCATCGCCATCCGCCATATTGACACGCGCGAGGCAGGTCAGCGTCAACGTAAACAGCGTCGCGCTAAGACTCAGTTGGCGCGCTAGTCTTAAACATTAATCGTTAATAACTCGAATAATCATTAACACGCGAAAATCGCGGTTCACGTTGTTACAAAGAAATTCAATTCCACATGTTCGAGTCGCTTTCTCCCGCACGATCGGCGAACGGATCCCGCTGTGGTAACAGACCACTCGCGCCATCTACAATTAGCCGAGTTGCGGCAGTAATTCGCGATGTCTATAATAACAACGCGCGATAATTTGATATGCATAACGTGTATCGGTTAGCAGCCGATACGAGGCCACACACCGTATCCAACGACGCGGTTAACTATAATTTAAAAGCGTCTCGTTATATTTCTTCTCACGTTTCTCGTTACTTATCGCGCTAGCTCCGAAAAGGGTCCGTTCGTCGCACACGCATGGAGCCCCCGCAGGCGTGAGAGCGTAATATAATTCAGTGCCTCCTCCTGCTGCCTCCTTGGCGAGGTGTGTCTTTCGGTTGGCACGGTGTAGCGCACGAATTACTTGCGCGTAATATACTGCGAAACAAAGCCCGTTAACGTCACGAAACGGTAAGCTGCACGGTATTTTGTTTAGTGTCCCGTAACTTATACTGTCCACGGACGACTTTGTAAGAGCCGGGGTAATTGAGTACTCGTACGGGACGACGGCTAATACAGCCGGGCCGTTTTTACGCGCGCCCCGACGCTGTGCTGGAACGTAAATCTGTTCGTCCAGAGCGATATCTGAAAACGCACGGACAGATTTATGCCCCGGATCAGCCGGTACGTGTGTAAATACACGACGCTGCTGAAATAGGTCCCAAAAGACGATACCGAGGCTGCGTGACACCCACCACCCTGGAAACGGGACACTATATACCGGCGATTATCGTGGAACTGCTATATGCCCATATAGAGTGCGCATTTTATGCGGATATCGGAATATAGGGATGTAGTAGATGCAGCTAGTGGGAAATTCTTTCTTTTTTTGCTTGGTTAGTAGCACGTGTGGTTGTTAGTGACTACTTGCATTGGAAGGGTTTGGGATTATTTGTAATAACTGTTGAATATTTGTGGACGAGAAAAAATGCAGTGCTTTTTGTCTTTAGTGGGTTTATTTGAAGTCTTTTTATATTAAGATAGTTTTATTATCCTGAAATTTTGGAAATCTACTTAAGGTAATCAATCAACAATATTAGAATAACATTTTTTTATCTAAAAATTTCTAAAAATGTAACCTTGATTTTCGTTGCCAAAGGGAAATCGAAATTGTGCTATCTTTAAGGAGAAATATTAAATAAATAAAATTATATTGTAATAAATATTGATGTGAACTAGAATAATTTGTTGTTTCATTTCAAATATATCGGAAACTAAATTTTTAAATAAAAGTATATTAATTCATATTTTCCATTCTCCATACCTGGTGCCACTATCGCTTATCAATATTTCATACGTATTTAATAAACATATAGTAAAAGTTATTAGTGTCTTTAAATTTTGCAATGATTATTATTACCTATATTTGATTGCCATTCATTGTTACAAAACCTTGACGCAGTATTATTCTTTATTCCCGTAATATCTTCTTCGTACTCAAAATTGCGCGCTCGTAATTTATGCTGCAAGTGGGCATGATCGCTGCATTTCATTAGCATAATCTTCATAAATCTCAGATGAAGCTTTTATCACGCATGTAAGTAAGTATGCTCAGCTTTCTTCTTTTACTCTTTTCTTGTCATGTATCGTATCCAAAAGAAAAGAGGTTATTTTGAAAGCAATACTCGCGCTTCAAAAATGATCAGCTTCTACTCTATCAATCGTGGCGCCACATGTCGCCAGACATTTCGCAAAAAAAATTGAACATTTGGATTTTGCATTTAAAATCTTCAAGTATAAAACCTTAAGAACAGGTTTATAAAATGTAATGTTATCCTTAAACTTGGCTGATTGGTGAGGTTTCAGATTTTATCAAAAAAATTAATTTTTAATATGAAAATTTAAATATGAAAAAAATAAAAAGTTGTTAAATTACGTAATTCTTGTCCAATTTTCACGGAGCAACAATTTCTTAATTGTATAAATACGTGCTATAAATTTTTTAGCAATACACCACCAATTTTTTTGTGCTATGTTACTGAAAATATCTCATTATGTTTATCTTCTGAAGTATATAGCATTTTAATCACTGTACATAAGTAGTAAAATAAAAGAAATTGAACAATGAACCCTAAATGTCACTTCCTCCATTATAAATTCCATTGACACATTAGCAACAAGCACCAATGAATATCATTATTCCCGAAGTAATTGAGAAGTAAAATTTGCATTCAATTGTAGAAAGTACTATTCCCGCATGCCTAATGCTTCTGCAACGAGCATTCCTTTAAATGTTATGACGAGAATCGTGAAGTCTGCCTTATAGTTTATTTACGTAATTTTAAGTGATTAATGAGGGTAACATAAAATTTAACGTTTCCCTGTTGCGTAAGTCATCGGTCACACCCAGTACACATCAGAGAAAAATTTCTATTAACTCTACTATACTATTGTCCCGGAGAAAGTTAAACGGAAGGTCGAAAGCGTATCTAAACTAAACTTATTACAATTATTAAGTAACTGTATCTACCAAAGTTAATATTATTAAGTATTATTATCATAGTTTTAATATTAATATTATTACATACTAGAGATTTCGGAGAGTAGGAAACATGTCATTGATTTATCTAAATTATGTTATAGATATATAGATATATAATACAAGAGAAATTTCATATTTTAAATCAGAAAATCTAGAAGCTCATTAGTTCTTCGCTTGCATATTTTAGTCATAGCTTTGATAAAACAGTTTAAATAAAATTATTCTTCTGCACGTCATAAAAGGATGAAGAATAATAATTTCTTATTCTCATTTATTCCAGGGTGGTTTTCTGTGATATCTGGCGGTAGCACTACGGGCAGCGCACGAGTCTATAGAAGAGTAGATTCTCTAGTACGAGCTGGCGTGCCTGCATTTCTTTTAGCGGCGCCATTAAGGGCATACATTTTGACACACTCAAAAATGGGTGAGTAAAACCGTCATTAAAGAAATTATTTTTTTAAATTATAAAAATACTAACCGTTGTATAACTTACAAGTAGACTACAACAATTTATTTATCATACTTATATTTTAGAATTATATACATTTAACTGAAAAGTTCAAATTAAGCTACTTATATTATTAAGTTGCACTACCTATTTTACTAATAAAAGATTGACCATAGATACTGATTAGACACCAATATGAACGAAATTAATATTTTTTAAACTCAACGAACTAGATTAAAATCGAGAAATAGAAAAGAGAAGTGCGAAGAAAAGGAGAATGAATGATCAATTCTTACCAAAGATACGGAAGAGACATCAAACGAAACGAAAAAAAATAGTGAACGAACTGATATCGAGAATAAGAGTAAGTGAAAACACCTGTAAACCAGAAAGGTTAACGAGAGCAAACAACGAAGGGAAAGAAGAAAAGAAAGCGAAATATAATAACACGCGTGAATGTATATACTATCACCGGTAATATCAAGAAATGACGTTCTTGACCTAAATGCATGTAAATATCGGTGTGCACGGCCTGACTTTGTAAAAAAAGAAACACGAGGAATGCGTAAATTACATGTTTCTGACGGAAGCAGAAAGTTAAACGCGGTAAATAGACTATGTTGTGGTAGTAATGCACGGGTCAGTGATAAAGGAAGCATGAAACATCAACGTTAAGGATTCAATTTCTGTGCTGTTATTTTTATAACAGTGTAATGGATTATTGGTTACCGCGCGTAATGCTTGACTTTAATTTTGCCTTTATATCTTCAGGCTATAACATATTTGCCAGTAACTGTTCCTCAATAATTTCCTCGATTATTACATTCTCCATTGTGTACATGAACGAAGGAATCTACATACATTGCTAAGGATACGGCAAACATTTCAAAACTATTCACTGAAGAATCCCATTATATTAAGATGTTATTCGAAACTAATGTTGAACATTAGACAAGTGTTACAAAAACTTCTCTTTTCCTTTTAACCGAAACGATAAATCATTCTCTCTTCTGACGAACGATAAAACATAAAACATTGATGAAATAATTGTAGACAAGGAAATATTAAATAAAATTCATCCATGCCGGAATATTCGAAAACTTGTGAAATTATTTAACGTTCAGTGTTTACGATTATTTTTTCTAACGAATTCTACGGAGTTTCAATTTGTAAATCGAGGATTCCGTTTTGTTTCCAGAAAACGGCAATTTAAGGGCTCATTATACGAAGACCACGATCAGAGCAGGCGAAATTCTGCGATTAATAGCGGTCTTCCAGGATACGAGGAAGTGCAGTACGGTTTCCTTCGGGATTTCCGGCAGTTCTTCCGAAAAGGATCAGTACGCGCAGTGTTTGGATCCACATGGTCGCGAAGTGTTTGCACCGTTGTCGGCGAGGGGCGAATTCTACGCCATTTGCCAGAACGGTGGAGTCGATACCGGAAGCGATGCTGTGCTATACAAAGTGCAACATCTTGCAAAAAGACAGCTACCTCTCAGGGTAAGTGCCTTATCCCTTTTTATAACTTCCTTTCATTATGACACAACATCCTCAACATCCTTCGTTTATTATAACCTCTGAACCCCGGTTTTTATACATATATTTATAATACACGGAAACGCTTAAATTAACTTATTGAACATCGTAATCGATAAGATGAAACTTCTTTTTAATTCTACTCTGATTCCTGTATAATTGGATATCTATATCTGTTCTAAGGTAATCATTTGTTATTGCCAATTGTGTGTTTATAAATATATTAAAGTGATGAGCTATCGCTTCTTTTTTAATTTTAATAAATTTGTAAACACCAATTGAGAACTGCGATACAAAATTTAAATTCACCCACTTTGGGAATAAAAAGAAGATACGCATACGTTTATTTGCCATTTTTATTATATTAACTATTCAACGAAAATGTAGCTATTATTATAAATGTACAATACATTAAGCAAAATAATATAAGTTATTTAAGCTAAGTGTATTAGTTTGAATATTGTGATTATCTTAAATATGTGATTAGGCTAAATAAGAATTTTAAGAATATCCATTTATTATCTCCTTATGCGGAAATATTTTTCTTTTAGGTTCGTTTAATAGCTGGTCCACTTCCGGTTCCCTTGCCAAGAGAATATGGTGGTTTAATGGAATTGGAAAGCTCTACTCGAGGGCCGATTGTTTTAGGGTGTATTGTACCAGAAAGGCCTGTCCACAACCCTGAAATGCTCGAGCTCGTGGTAACCGGTAGTGGTGCACCACGAGTGAGGAGAGCACGACTAGGCTATCCATCAGAAGCAAGGCTGTTAGCATCGCCAAAAATGCAACGATTATTGTCTGCTTGCAGGTAAATCAATCGTTATTTAAATACAGAAATAACGATTTCATTTTTCAAATAACTACTGAACAGCACACTATTTTTAATATACGCTGTCTTTTTGAGTTTCTCGGTCTTTTTAAGTAATTCCGGTGTTACGGTATATCAATTTACTCGTATCAACAAAAAAATTCAAAGGAACTATCCTTTTCTAACAAAAATATTCCGTTAAAGAAAATGTATTATTCTTAATATCTAATTCCACGCATGTCTTTCCCACAAGTTGACTGAAAGGTAAGACGAAAAACTGTTCGACAGAAATTTATACGTATAATATTACAATCGATTTTCATGTAAGCCGATTGAAATTTTTCTATGGGCAGTTATTTTCGTACCACGACTCCGAGTCGTATAAGACTCCATAAATCAAAGAGAAATCGATTTCATGAATAGGTAAGTACTTACGGGCACGTACGGATAGGACAGACACACGCTGGACGCGATAATATACCGTAGTATGTCCCGTATTACCGTGATATTCGAAAGATGCTGAAAAAATCTTAAAATATATATTCTATGTGGCTCAACCTGTTTTTCCACTTCAGCCGAGCCGTCGGTGATCGTGCAACGGAACCAAGAGTGGCACCTTTGAAACTGCACCCAACCGGCGATAGCTTGAAGGAAATGCATTTGAAAAAGATCAAGCCGAAACCGGAAACAACGAAGCCGATCCTGCAGAGCCTGAAGGACGGGCTGGAGCAACTAAAGAAGAGCACTGTCCGGGAGAAAAGTCAAACAAGGCAGAACTGTCGGAACGGATTCTTGGAGCGAATATCGAAGTTGACGCAGGGCAGTCGCAGCAGGAATCCCGCGAAGAAATCGGCCTCTTTCACGTTCGCGGTGAAGCCGGAAGTCGCGATCAGATGCCAGGAACGTTATTCAAGTTTGGAGCCCGAAACTACCTCTCATCCGAGTCACTCGAACTCATCCAAGCAGCCTGTACAAAGATCAGTTTCCACGAGCATTTTGGAAATGCCGGTGAACGTCGAATTGCAGCCGAATTACTCTCGAGTCCGAGATAGTCTTACACCCGTGCCATCCCTTCCCAAATTGACCAGGACCAAAGCCGACGACATTTACGCGGAAATCTGCGAGAACGCGGCCGCGCAAGTTCAAAAGTGTCCCGGGAGCCACGTGATGGCCAGAATTAAAATAGTGGTGAAAGGACGCGATTCGGCCGTAGACCTACCGAATAAGATCAGTAACGATAGATACATGAACTCGATGATGGCAAACGAGCGAATCGACTCGATTATCAGCACGGAGGACGAAGTTATTTACAATACGGTGTTCTGAGCAAGAAGAGTTTGTTATTACTATTAAGTAAACCGGCTGTGTTTGATGATCGGAAAACCCGTTGATCGTTTTAATCGACGCGCAATTCAATCTGTATTATATTATATAATAAATACCACGGAGCTACACGTAACATTGTAGAAATGGTAATGATTGCATGCACATACCTCTGCCATACGTACTAACAATTACAATGAGACCGATGTGACTTTTAAGGAACGCGCGGTTAGTTGTTTCTAAAATCAATGTGAATATTGTTCTTAAGACAGAATTATGAAAACTTTTGGGGGAAAAAAACTGAAGTGACCCTTTTTCAAAACTTATTCCAGTTAATGCGACGCGAAATATGAATAATTACACAGAAAACCGAATGTAGACAATAAAATAGATACGTACAGACATATGAAATATTTATTTCTGACCATTTTACCTTGTTAAGGAAATACACCCTATGCTTTCTTCACCGTTTTCTTTTTTAAAATGTTGTTCTTCGAAAAGGTCTTCTTTTTATTCAACAACTTATTTTTTTCTTTTTGTTTCCGAGGAAATTCTTTTATAACCTTTTTCATAATATCAACAGCTTTCTCAGTGGTATCTGCTAACTTAAACTCAATATTATTGTTGAAATACTTCCCAGAATATCCTTTTGGAAACAGTGGTTTTGATAGAAGAGAATCCAATTGACGCTTTTTCATTTTTAATTGGCGCTTTAAGTCTGCCATTTCTTTCGTTTCTAATTCTAAATCCCTGTAACGTAAAATTATTTTTGTCGTAAGAAAAAGAAACAGGATGTACAATTTAGTAACATCTTCGAATTATGTCGAAACTTACTCTTCGTCCTCTTCTAAAACCAATTCCATATCTTCTACCGCTTTCCGTAGCCATCCCTTTTGAGAATTATTTCTACGACTTTTTAATTCCAATTTATCAATATCTCTGGCAATATTAACCCTTTCTTTGACTGCAATAAGTAACTTATCTACTACCGGAAATACGGGTAAATCTTCCGCTATAATAACAATAATTGTATTAATATTCTACTTCGAATTATCACTTTTCTTCTACGCAATTGACTTCATTACTTACTGCGATCGAGCGTTTTACACAATTTGGTATAATATTGTTTCTCAGATGGTTCCATCATAAGGACTGTTATACCTTCTCTCTGAGCTCTTGCAGTTCTCCCACTCCTGTGTACATAGCTCTATAATTGAATTAAGAACACAACAAAAAAGATAAAAATAATACATTTTTTAAAATACCAAAATGAAGAGCACTCTTCAACTTTGTCATAATTTGCACTATATATCTGAACATACTTCACTGGTTCTGGGCACTTGATAATGTATTACATGTTCTACATTTGGTATATCCAAACCTCTTGCAGCTACATCCGTAGCTATTAATAATCCATCTTCATCTACCTGAAATCTATATTCCTCTATGTTATCCGAAAATATTATTTTCATTACGATGTCTTTACCTCTCCAGATTTTTCAATCGTTGCCTTTGTTGCATGCTAGCATGCAATGGTAAAGGTCTGCAACCAAGTATACCAAAAAGAGTAGCTAATCGTTTCACGCAACCAATACTATTACAGAATACCAATGTCCTACCAGTATACCGTTTTAGAAAGTAATAAAGATAATAATCTTTATGATCTATTGTGCACACTATTCTACATTCTGTCAAACTACTGGCAGTACCTACAAGAAAACCCTTCTTATTTCTTTTCGATCGTTATAACGATAGTGGCATTTTTAATTATTTCATATAAAGATGCAAACCTGATTCTTTTGTAATATCTACAATTTTTGGATTTTTTATTCCAATTAAATCTATAATTTTTTGTAATTTCTGGTCAGATGTCATCTTAGATATTCGACTTTTAGACCGATTTCTTTTCTTTTTTTGCAAATACTGTGGAATATCATGGACCATTGTTAATGTAGCAGAAAAGACGAATGTTTGTCTTTTTTGTAACATATTTTCATTCATATTTATTTTTTCCAGTAGTTGCTGCAATTCTTGGAAATGACCTTTTTCTAACATTCTATCTGTTTCATCAATGGCTAAATACCTATTATAAATTATAGCAAACATACTCTATCATTTTAATAAAATTCACATTAAACCTTAATTCTAATAGTACCTTACATGATATTAAAATTGCTTAATATGACTTACTTAATGGAATCCACTTGATTCAGATGGGGATTACCTGTCTGTATTAATTCCCATAATCTACCAGGTGTGGCAATTACAATTTCAGGACCTTTACTTAATATTCTCTGTTGTTTGACTTCGGCCATTCCACCCAATACTATTGCTATCTGTATAATATAAATAATATAATAAAATATATCTTGTTAAACATTGCATGTACTAATTATACACCTGTACATATATTCACTTATTAATGTGCAATATAAAAGTGCTAAATATACACATAACAAAGCAGTATACGAAATATTAACAAAGATATAAAATACTTACTTTAATGTCAGTATATTTTGCTGCTTTAGTCAGATGATCTTTTATTTGAACAGCTAATTCACGAGTTGGTGTTAAAATTAATGCATATAAAGGCTTTTGTATATAATTCTGTGGTTCATTCATTTCTACATTATTAATGACTCGAACACAATTAATGCTATTTCTAGTATCATCATTCTCTTCATAATCAGATTCTAAAGAACTATTGTCATCTTCAACAGTTTCACTTTCCGCACAAATCCAACCTTTATTTATTATATTATTACTTGATTTCTTTTTAGAATTTATATTAGGTTCATTGATTTGTTTGCTTTTCAACTCTAAAATACCATTTATTATGGGAATTCCAAAAGCTAATGTTTTTCCACTACCTGTTTCAGCAGCCCCTAATATATCTCTATGACCTAATATTGCTGGTGGCAAAGTTAACATTTGAATAGTAGTAGGCGAATGAAATTGCTGATCTTTTAATGCTTTTATTATAATATCAGGCACTCCTAATGTACTCCATGCTTGTACATTGATACTATCTATACTTTCAATGTCATTATTTTGACTGCAAAGCTGATCATCAGAGTTACAGTCTAAATCATTTTGTACAATTTGATTTGATACTTTTTTCTTTTTCTTTCTTTTAAGATCATTATCTTTATTGTTTTTAAATTTTGCTTTCTTTAATACTGATTTATTATCATGTATATTATCTTCTTGCCATTTATTTGAACTTTTTCGTTTTGTAGATACCTGATAATAAATAAAGATATGTTTAACAAAAGTTTTTTATGGAGTTAACTTGTATTATTAATTGTATTAAACAATACAGTTTTATACTTACCTTGCACTTTCTAGTTTCATCTCCAGCGTCACAAATTACAATTTTTGTTGTGTTACTTTCTTTTTCTAATTTATAATTAGTCAGTTCTTCTACACCAATTAAACCATCAATACCGCCCGAGAATACAGAACCGTCTAGAGCTAAAGGTTTCCATGCATTTAAATCGCTTTGCTTTTTTTTTGACATCGTTATTTACAATATTAGTGTTATATATAATAATTAATAAAACATAAACACACAGTAAATAAAGGACTGTATGTTTTAAAAGGACATAACCTTATTCAGCCGACAGTAAAATCACGTGGAGTAAGCTATGTATATATATTTACATAAGTACATGACAATATAGAATTGTGTACATAATTTATATACTGATGAATTTCAGTCCTACTACTGTAGAAAACCACAATGTTATGTCTCCTGTCACGTGATGAATCTCTTATTGGTTCAGTTTGCTCATTTGCTGAATACAAGATATATAGAAAACTAAAATACAAGTATTTCATGAGTTTTCCATTATTGTAAGTTAAATGCATACTAAACACTTGTAGCTGAATGAATTTTAAGCATAAATATTCATGACATTATTTCTTAATGAATTAGTCGTCATTTAGGTAAAGTATAATAAAAAGTGAATATTGGAAAAGTAACGCGACCTTTTTGTCGTTTACTTTGTACTTGAACAGACAGTATATATTTAAATTAACGCATTATCTTTATACATGAAAGTGACAGTATTCTACTTTGGCAAAATCATTTACATAATATAAATTATATATAACATTCATACATAATTAAGAATAAATTAATAGAATATTCTAGTATACAATATTTCATTGCATTGGGAACATTTAATATTGAAAGTAATAAAAATACAGTGCGGAATTACATTAGTAAATTATTACAAACGTAAAAGCAAATTGGTTACATCAGTTCCGACTTTTAAAATTATTTATAACATGCATAAGATAAAACATAATCCCGAAATTATTTGTTTATATTTTTCCATTGCCCATTTATCTCAGTTTTTCATTATTAATAGTTGTTTAAATTTATTAATTATAGATAAATAAACGAGATGTGAAGGTTAAAAGTTCACTGTGTTTAACATGTAAACATAGGGTGTTGCATCCATAATGAAGTTATAATTTGATACAACAAAAACATTTTTTAAGTGAGTGCAACATATATTGAATTTAATGACAATTAACTCACATTAATATTATGTTTTCTAAAATTATAATTAATTTTATATCTGCAGTATATAGTTAAAAAATAGATACCTGTTAAAAATTGGAAAAGTAAAAACACTTAAAACCATTACTTGGCAACATTTATAAGATTGTAACATTATCAAAAGAAAATTAAATATACAACAAAAGGTTAATAATTTATTTATTCAAACAGAAGTAAAAAACAAAAATAATTTCTGTCGATACAAATATTTATTACATTCTTTTCAATATGGAATCAATTAAATGAAATCATTTCACAATCAATTGTTAAGCAGACTACAAATTAAAAATTTTTTAGAGTTGTACCAGTAATCGATGATGTTAATATGAGTACATCAGAAAAAGTTTCGAGTGTTAAAGTCACGTCAAAAGTACCAATTTTAAGAATAACTATAAATAAAATGTATAATAAACCTTATACATCAGAACTGGATGAAAATAAACTTACAGCAAATACTATTAGTAGCACTGACAATATTGTTAAAATAGAAGAAAATAATATGATTGAAAAAAGAGATACTAATTCAACAAATTGTATGCAGAGTGTTGCTTCTTCAAAACCTATTTTATTTAATTTAATACCTGTTGTATTTGAAAAACCTATTAAATGCAAGGATACCTGTACGGAAACAAAGAACACTCATGTACCTAAAGTTGCATATACCAGAAGAGGAGATTTATCAAGAGACACGTAAGTACTTTTATTGATAATTAATTCATAAAATCACTACTGACATTGTATACTTGTGGCAATTAAGGTTTTATATTCATTTGCCTTTTAAAAAAATCAAATAATGTATTAAACATTGTGTTTTATAAAGTATAATTATAAAAGTAACACAAAAAAAAGGATGATTGCAAACTTAGCGACTTAAATTTTAAAATTTGGATGTACTATAAAAGAGTTGACTGTATTGTGCTACTTAATTACAATATTTCTAGGCGTAATCAAACTATATCCGAACGAATCAAATATCTCCATACGAAAGCGCAACGAGACTGTGACATATTAAGAATCCGTTTGAAAGCACTAAGAGAAAGACACAAACAAGAGAAAATAGAAATAGCAAAGTTGGAAACATATTTAAGTGAACTTAGTAAACATAAATCAATCAATGTGATATCTGGAAGACATTTGAAAAGAAAAAAGTTATTTGTGTCATTGAAAGATACAGAAGAAGATGAATGTCAGAAATTACTTAGAAAAGTTAGGAAAATAAAGGATGAAATATTAAAATCAAGATGCCCTATCACAGCTGCGAAAAGAAATTTAGAACAAGTAAATGCATTAAATCATAATGCAAATATAGTAAATGAAGTACACAATAACAGTACTGTACCAAGTGATAAAATACAGAAGCCTGCAGAAAATTGTTTAAGGACAGATACATGATACTCATGTAATGTTAATAATTATAAACGTACATTAAGTCTTATACATATCATTACATATGATAAATTAAAACTTTAAAAACATAATATTACAAACATGAAATTGACATAATAATTCAATTTGCATGAATATTTAAAAATAACTAATTAATATAATTTAATACAAGGTAAACTCTATAGTATAATGGAATTGTTCATTATTTTTATTGAGAATAATCATCTATTTTTATAAGTTCATATTATGGGATAATATAAAATCTAAATGGTCAATAAAAAATATAAATATTTTGTTTCCAAAATTAATTCAATGTAAACATATATAAAAAAAAGAAAAAGTATTATATATGTCAATTATAATTAAAAAATTATTCTCTTTTATTTACAATTTTTTGTGTACAATGACATGTGAAATCAATACAAATTTACAATTATCTATCCTGTTTTGAAATATCATTTGGATTATTTGTAATATTATTATCTTCAGTTAATATTGTGTCTTTTCCTTGTTTCTCGTCAAATATAACTGTTTGTTCTGCAGATTTGTGTGATTCGGATACTTTTCCTTTTTCTAGTGGTATAATAGTTACATTTCCACCTGTATTTTCAGATGCAGAAGATATTTCATTTGAAGATTTTTGTAGTATTGATTGTATATTAGAAGTAGATAATGAAGGTGTAACAATGTCTTTTTCACTTTTTGAAACTGGTAATAGAGGAGCTAGAGGTTCCAATATTTTATCTCTATTTAAGTATGTAATTCCCTGTAAAAAGTGTATATTTAATATACGTTTATAGTTCGTAAGTAATATTTCTATTTTACTAGATAAAGGACGTTTTTTTATTATAAATATCTTTAAAAACGCACTTAATAACTTTATTTACATACCTCTGTTTGGAGTAAATTCTCTGAAATACCTAAATGAATTGCAATTTGATTTGGTGGAAAAATAACATGAATGCAATACTGTACATAAGGAATTAATTGTTCACTTAAACATTCTGTAAATTTTAACATGTTTTCTCTTTCTGCAGCTGCAAAAGCCTGTATCATAATTTTAACGAATTAATTTATAATTCTTTGAACAAAGAATTAGAATGTTACTGCCAAAAAAATAATAACTTACTTGTTGCTCTTGTTTGTAAAAAATCAAAATAGCTTTTGCAACTAAATATAAAGACTCTTGTAAAACATTTGTACAGAAGACAGAAAGGGCTACTGGTGGACAAAGTCGTATTTCGTTAAAAGCAAATATAAGACCGTTACAATATTCGGCTAAAGGATAAAATTCCACTAACTGTTCTGGTGGATTTTCCTATATAAAATAATATTTCATGAAATTGTTGTAAAATATATATATGCACATACATACATAAAATTACTTACAGACTTAATTACAGCGTTTACTTTTATATTAGTTCTCTGAATTTTATTAATTAGTGTAAATGATTCCATATCTTTTTCAAATTTCTTTGTTGTTTTGTGGATGCTGGATTCAAACTTTTCACCGATTACATGAACAAATATATCAGACATTCGTCCAGTAAAATCTGCACCCACTCTACCAAATGATAAACCAAAATATGTACACTGACCCAAAATGGAATCTATAGACGTTACTCCAGGTAAATCTTGTTCTAATGTTGTTAAAAATTGGGATATCTGAAATAATGATGTAGAGTAAGAAAAATAAATCAAACAGAACTGTTCAACACAACATCCAAGTATTAAGTATACCTTCTCTTCAAGCCAATGATAAAATATAGCGCATGGATCTCGACCTGGCATTATGAACTCATCATCATGAAACATAGCTTTATATTGTGTTATTATATTAAATAAATGTATCCTTGATAATTCTATTGTTTTTGTTATATGAAGATTGGCTGAAAACAGATATTTAATTATTAATTTAAAATACCTTTATTTAATTATTAATCTAACATATACTTACGATCATCCTTAGGTATAGCATTCAAGAGACTTTGAAGCCAACTATCGCGTGCTTGAAGAAATTTAATACGTAACTCTGGTTCTGTAAAAGCATCCATTGACCGTAATAATCCTACAAGTTGTAAGCATCTTGGAAGTGGTAAATCTCCTCTTAATGATCCAACAACTTGACCTACCATGCCTGACCAACTACTTTCAATTTCTGCCACTATGGACTACATTGTTAATGTACAAAATGAAATACATAATACAGTATATATATTTTTATAACATCGATTACCGATATAATTGGAATATCTCCATGTTTAGTTCCTAATTGACGTGCATATTGAGATAATTCTAATGCCTCGTTATATTGATTACTCCTTAAACATGATTCCATTAATTGAGGCATTTCAAGAACTTCAAGTAGCTCTGCATTTCTTGTTAATGTTAAACTGTTTACTCTTCTATGCGCATTTATATCTTTCGAAGCATCACAAAATAGTTGGCATTTTTCTACAAATTTGGGAATTTTCTGCACAAGTCCGTCAAGCCAACTTTCAGTTTGATTAAACTTGAAATTATATATTAAATATGCGTTAGTAAATCTATTAGTAATGTTATTAAATACATAAAAAATTACTGCTTTATTACTTGTTTAAATATTTCCCGGGAGCTTTCTGCAGTTTGTACAAATGTTTTATAATTTGTAAATACTAGGTCTTGTGTGGTGTGTAATACTGAATTTTTTTCATCGTCTAAATGATCAGGCTCTTTACCTAAAAAAATGGGATTATTTATAAATAAAATATGTTTTAAACGAGACAAATTTTATCAAAATGAAAAATTTATTTTACAAAGTTGATCAACATCATAACCACCAAGTTTTGATAAGTATTGATAAAACTCGGGATTTTCTTTCCATATCTCTGTAAAACAATACTTACATTGTATATTTACAAGTAACAAGAAACAGAAAATATGTTGTTAAACATATTTTAATATAATGTTATTAGTATTATATAAACATAAATTACCTCGTATGCCGTTCGGAAATACAAGATTTATAACATTTTCAGTTTCGATATCCATTTTTATTTAGGAAATACATTTATATTTTATTTTAAATTGTTTAATTGTCTTTACGTGTTCTGTATTACATATGCAAACACACGTTTAAACACACTATTCGATCTTGACAAAACGTCTCCGTTTAGTATAGCAATGCAATTACTGGTTGTTCAATGTATGCTCGATGTTACGGGATCTAACAGGAAAGATCCAATGATTTCAATGCTCGAATGGAATTGTTATTGCAAAACTAAGGACATAATGATTCAATTATTAATTCGAAAATGTAAACAAATTATATTTATTATTATTACTATAATTATTGATTTTATGCGTTAAACATTTTTGAAATACTAAACCCTTTCTTTTGTATTAAATATGAATTATGTGGTAAACTACTTATACTATTTTTATTCTGTACTTGCTTGTTATATTTACAAACTTCATTGAAATGAAAAATATATTTATTTGATATGAAATATGTACAAAAATGTATTCAACAAATATTTATTTATAGTATTATTTGTTGTTGTATATTAAAATGAATTCCAGAAATTCTAAATCGAAATAAGTGAGAAACGCTATAGAAACCGTATTTAAATTTTGAAATCGGTAATATAATTTACCTAGCCTACGAAAGTTTATGAATTGTTCCATCTTTTCTTGTGTCTCGTTTGCATTTCTATATGTGCATTTTGTCCGCTATGATTCGCCATAGAACTTCATGTAATAGATGAGAATTCTAGCTTGATAGTATCTCTTAGGAAACAAAATCTGCTGGTATTATACTATATATGAATGGTACATATATAGAATATAATCTGTGTATATGTGCGGTTACCGCATAAAATTTATCAATATAATATTTATTTAAAGTAACTAATAATAAATTTGTGAACTTATTTGAAAGTAGAAATTATTTTGCCTAAAATGGCATTAAATGTTATGAAACAGGTAAAATCGAGTTTATAGATAAGCGTAAAGATGTATTAACCTTTTTTCTCATTGTTATTTATCACACAATAATATAAAGTTATGTATTTAGGTTGCTACACATTATCATCGTTCGCTAGTGAATAAAGCTGTGAGATTTTATAGTATATACACACCTCCTTATCTATCGGTACATTGTTAATTATTATAAATAATACTGTACAATTTATTAGGCATTGATGAAGAGGTGATACTTAAAAGGAATGCAAATGCTTCTTACATGCATTTTTGACAGTAATATGCTATTTGCTAAAACAATTGCACTCTAATTAATCAATATCGTAAACAAAACGCATAGCGAAAGACTCCTGTTGCTTATGTATCATCCGAGGTACCAACTCTTCATCAACACATAGTACTTAATTTGTTCATACTATATTCGACTGTTTTGAATATAGATAAAGACTACTGGACCACAACTTTATCCTATATTACATATACAAATTAAGGGATACACATATCCTTTGTTGGAAAGTTTCCAGTCTTTCATTGCTAAAGTTGCAAATAATTTGGATATTGACGTTGATGAGAGGTACTTATATTTTTTTCTACATGTAATGTTCTGTATTTCAATTGTGTATCTTTTTTTATCTTTGCAGTTTTGCTATGCCACATCAAGAACATAAGGTACAAAAATACAAAATGGAATCCACAATAATTGATTCTGAATATATTCTTAGACTTTATGAAAGGGATACATTATTATCAAATATAACTTCTATAAAATGCCCTATTTTAATTAGAATACTAGAAGCATCTTTACCTATGGGTGTCTCTTTAAATGTAAATGTGTATGATCCTCAGATACAGAAAAAGCGTTATATACCAGACAAACTTTTACTTGATTTGAAATCTGAATTAACTGAAATGAACAAACCTAAAGAAAAGTAGATTTTGCATACATAGAAATAAAATATTTCAATTCTGTTCTATGCAATACGATAATAATAATGCAATTTTAAAAGTTTTTTTAATAAAAATTATGTACAAAATAGGTATATAGATGTGTTTACAAACACAAAATATATGTAAATACAGTTTCTTATCTACTTTCATGAATTTGATATCATCTTCTCCCTATTTATAAAAGTCCGAAGTGTACAACTTTTATTTTTGAACCATCGTCAGATTTTGAAAGTTCTTTTGCTTTATCGCTTATATCATCTTCTGTAAAGTATAATTTTCAATTATCACGTGTTTATAAATTATTTTAGTTGAGAGTATTATGTAACTTACTTGATAACGGTTGAAAATCTTTCAAATAATCTTCATTACCAAGGCACAGTGGAAGGCTTTCTGCTAATTCACGTTTTGGATCAGTTAGATGCACTTGTGTAATTGTAGATCGTTTTTGTTTATGCGATTGACCCTGCACAAAGTGTTAAGTAAATAAAACTAATGTTGATTAATAAATACAATCTTTTCATACTTACAGTATCAGGTACAAATATATGAGTTACTGTATCTGAAAACTTGACCTTTGGTTTTTCAGTGGATGTTGATGTTGCATCTGGGAAAGTAGAAAATGGGGAACAGGATATAGAACTAGATGTAGGAGTTGATATAATAGGCAGTGGTGGTATGTTTGAAGATATCTTAGATTCTTTACTAACACTAATGTTTGTACTATTTTGTGGCAATATTAATTTTGAATGTCTATTATCAAATCTATTTTGAGTACTATATGCAGAAGAGAACTTCGACGTATTAAGTTTTGTATTATTACTAGAAGAATGTATATTATCACAACTTCCATGGAATGAAATGTAATCAAGGTCATAATTGAGTCTATATCTAGAAGGCTTAACGTTACCATGTTTGTAATGAGTTTGTAAAATGTTAGTTGTAGAATTTTGTTTTTGAAGCAAATGGGTTGAAATATTTCTTGCTCTAATAGGCGAAAAAGTTTGAATAGGTTCATCAATATCCGCTAAACCAGATGTACTTCTAGATAGAGGAAGATTTTTTTTCGGAAGATTATGAAAGTAACTGGTATATGAAGTTGTTAAAGAAGGTGGCGGAGGCGGGATATTAATGTCTCCCAATTTCTTTTCTGCGAGAGATTGCTGTAACTTCATAGTCTTGTGACTTTCATCATTGTTGATGTTTTTCACAGTGTTACTACGAGAATCTTGTATTTCGTTGTCTAGAAAATTGAATGAAGTTGACATGAGATTAGTGTGATTACTATGAAAACTGGAACTTAATTTGTTTGCTGTGGAAGAATCAGAAAGTGTTTTAGATGTAAAGTCATTCATTGTAACTGATGATTTCATATTTTTTATAGAAGTTGAAGATACAGTGGAGTCAGTTTCACCAGTCTTCAAATTATTAAAGGAAGTATCGTATGAATTTGGAATATTTGTACCAAGTGTACTAAAAGATGTTGACATGATATTGCTGTCAATGTTATCTAATGAAGATCTTAATAAACTAGATGGAACATCTAACGCAACTGTTTCATATATTGGATTATTAAAAGGAGTTGACATGAAGCTATTTTCTTGCGTTAATTTAGTCGATACTGCGTTATTAGATACAGTATCAAGAGAATACTGTATTTCATCGAGTATAGATTTATTTTGTGCAGTATCTATTGAATTATCAGCGAGTCGATTAGGTACAACAATTTTTCGTTCATTGACAGACAAACTTCCAAATGAAGTTGTCATTAAATCATCAGAAATATTACTGAACGATTTTATACTATTCGTAGAAGTTATTGCAGATGTCTGTGTTGGATGTGTTGCATGTGTTTTATATAGAGGTTTGTTAAACGATGTCGTTGCAAAGAAGGTATTTAAAAGTGAAAGGTGAGATGAGTGATTATAAGAAGATGTAGCATTAGGCATATTGAAAGATGTTGATACTAAATTACAGTCAGTATTTTCAGTAGATGAAACATCAGAGAACGATGCAGGTAATAAGTTTTTGTTAAGATTATGTGGATCAAGAATTGGTAAAGGTGGAATCTGACTTTTGGATTCTTTCTTGTAACTATAACTTTTAGAATGCTTTACATCAGTCTGATTTTCTTTAGAGGAATTTTCACTCTCATCACTGTAAGATTTTTCTTCTTTATCACTCATTGAATCAGAACACAGTGAACACGATGCTCTAGAGCATGTGGAATCTGAAAATTTTCTGTTATAATTCTTATTGGGAAAAGGAATATTCTATAAAATATTTAATGAATTCTTACGAGAGCTATTGCAACTATTTGATCTACTTAGTATACGTTCAGCATTTTCTTTTGCCGCAGTAGCCATTGCCATATCGTTTACAACTAATGCATAAAAGTGTATATCCATAAAAAGATCATGATCATTCAGATCTATGGCAAGCCTAAAGGCTTTTTCAAACATTTGGTATCTGTATTGAGAATAATTAATATTATTTAAAAAATAAATTTGTTTTAAATATAAGAATTTACATAATACCGTAATAAATGATAAAAAAATCTTCTTGTCAGATCTCTTATTTCATCTCCATATTCTTCTTCAATAGCTTGACTAATTGGTTTAACTGGTACATGGAAACTACCCAAAGCATTTTGTATGAGATCTGAAATATTTTAATTATGTAATATTTATGGTAGTATACGTTAAATTAGGCTTTAAACTATATCTTACTTTCACGTTCTGATGTTAATGGTAGTTTAAATAAATGATTCAAAATTTGATTCAGAGTATGCATACATGCACGAGGATGAGTATCCCAATTCATAGATAGCAATAAAGAAGTTGCTTGTTCAACTTGATATAAAGATAAATATCTTTTAGCTAACACATCACCGGACAGAGAATCTCCTTCCAATAATTTTATTACACCTATAGGGCCTCTATTAATATATTAGATTCATATTACTAATTTTTTAATATACTGTTTACTTAGTAAAAAAGTATTAGTAACATACCGTTGGAAAATTAATAGTAGAAGAGAATTTCCATGAGTATGCCAATCAATATAACAATTTATGTCATTCCTTTTATTCCATTCCATGCGCAGTAACGCTGGTTGTGTTCTGTATTATTCAAAAATTTTGTATTTTAAGCATGCATAATCATATTAATGATAATTGTTATCTTATGAAATATGTGAATTTAAAATATACCTAAAATATGATGACAAATCTAAAATATTGGCTGGTGTTACATCTTCGCTTAGCGTCTGACTTTTAACACATGACAAAGAAATATCAAAATGCTGGAATTGACCCTTATCGTTCCCAATAATAAATATTATTCCATTACTATGCCATGATGCTAATGTTGGTATCTTAAAAAGTTATATGATATTTATGAACTATTTAATATATTTTTAAATGACGTTTATGCATTAAAAAGAACTTGTATATTTGTATATGTAACTTACAAAGCCAGCTTTTACACTGGTAGTAGTGGCTCTGTTTTGATCATAAATTATTACAGAACCATCTATGCAACATAGTAGTAATAATTCCTGATTAGGAGAAAATTTTATACAACTTGTGTGTGTAGGTAAAGGCACAGAGGTTACCGCTATTCTTTGCAGTTTATCTTGTTGGGAAACTTCATATGTTCTCCACTCGATAGTCACCTCACCCTATATCATACTTACATGTAAAACTTTCTGTTACAAAATTAATGCTACAAGAATAGTGATGATACTAAATGTTGCAGAAAGTTTACCTTTCTCGATACTTTTTGTTCTACCGAATGGATAACATTGTCATGACATGCGTCAAATATTATACATAAGGGATCAAACTCACTACGTATATAACAAATTAATTCTAATTTTAATCTGAAAATAAAAATATCTCACATTCAAATGCTTCTATTAAGTGAGGAAATATTGAATATTAAAAACTTAAATGAAAAGTATAGAAAAGAAATTTTGTACCCTATTATACGATAAAGATGTATATTTGCACGATCGTGCTCTTTCACAGCCGGACTCCACGGGTACACCTCGTTCATTGTAGATTTCCACCAAATTAGTATCTATAATGTTCAAAGAACAGTCTCGTAAACTATGTATGTAATTATAAATAATTTATAAAAAAAATGAAACTATTTTATTTGATCAGTCTTTAAAAGATTTTGAATAAATGTAAATATATTTACCAAGTCATTGCACTTATTAGTTTGCACTTTTTTATCCGATCTACGTCCGTTTGGACCAAATAGATCAATTGTAGATAATTTTGGTTCAAGTTTATTAATTTTATCGAAAACATGTTTCTTAGATCTTGTAAAATGTAGAAGGCTTACTTGATTATCGTTGTAGATACAAAGTATATAATTTTTAGTAATTAACACTATAAATATAGATAATAAAATATTTAAAAAATTTTATAATGTATATATATATTAAAAAGTTAATATTTACCATCTGATATATATTCAGAAAGTTTTCCAACAAGATATTTATCAAAGGTTATTTTATATATATCACTAGTAGCAACATTAACTTGTATTTGTATTAACAAAGCATTATTTAACATTAACTGTAAAACACAATCATCGTACCATTGACAATATATAATTGAATTGTCTTTTAATTGATCCTATAAAATTAAAATCAAATAAAATATATAAACATTAATATACAATACTGATTCATTGTAATATTACCTCTAAATATTTAATAGAATCTTTCAATTTATTTCCTTTTTTATTTGTTGGTACATATATCATACCACGCTTCTGACTGTATGATCTTTTCCCTTCTTCATGTAAACTATCAACACGCTTATCATGATACCTATGATAAGAAATTAAAAAAAAATTTTATCATCTTTAAATACAAGTATTTTATAAATGTATTATTAAATTTAACACAATGTTTTATAATACAAATAATTAGTATCACCTGACTTTGGTGATATATTTAATTATTAGTATTATTTTTAATGCTTGTAAAATAATATATCTTACCGAAATGCACCAAAGTCTGTACTTTTTATGTTAATATTGTCATCGAAGCTCCATAAATTTACTTCACCCAATAATGTAAACATTATAAAATACAATTACTTTAAT